AAAGCGTTGAACCTCCCCCTGCCCCTATCAATTTGCAGCAGGCAAAGGAAGAAGTCAGAAAAGAGCTGGAAGAGATTTGGCACCTTCCGCAAGACGAGCGCAAGAGAGCCATCCGGCGTGTATTTTTAAAATGGCACCCAAATAAAAACCTGACGTATCCCGAACTGGCAGAAGAGGTTTTCAAATTTATTCGGGAGGAGCTGGTCCGACTGGAAAGAGGTGATGGAGTATCAGCCTCAAATAATTCAGGTCCGTATCAGTCGTGGAGGGCACACCAGCAGACCTGGAACTCGTATGCCAGCCAACACAGGCACTACCAGCAACAGGCAAGAAACAGACGTAGTCGAGGTGGTGGAGGGGGAGGGGGCGGACATGGTGGAGCTACTGGTGGTGGGGGTTTCTTTAGTCAACCATTCACGCCACCTACAAACGAGACCAAGGCAAAGCAGTGGGTGAAGCAGGCAGTCGCAGACCATAGTGCACTGCAGGTCCTGTTGAACGAGGCACAGAATAATCCTCACCTCTATTGCCACGTGTGTTTCATGGCACACGAAGTGGCCGAGAAGGCCCTAAAAGGTGCCATGTATTTTACATGCGGTTTGCGTAAGGCGCAAGCAGCGAGTCACAACATCATCCCACTGGCATTTGCAGTGGAGCAAGTTGATAAAGACAGAGCAAGGGGTCTTTCGATTCTAGCTGAGCCACTGGAGTCGGCCTACTATGAAGATACAAGATTCCCAAAGGAGAACGAAACATCCTCTCCATGTGAAGCATTTACTCTTGCAAATGCCATTGAGGCTGAAAAGTGTGCAACAGGAATACTCAAGATTGTTAGAGACCTAGCTAATTTAGATACTTAGAACTTTTTGCAAGATGTAGCTGTAGCTAGCTAGTAGCGCATTATTACTATAATTGATTTTTTGGTGTATTATGCACACGCTCAGAAGTTTTCTTCTGAGTAATAATGGAAGTAGTCATCTGAATGCTTGGTTTTTCTATGTTTGTGATGGGCACTGAACATACTGTAATGTTCCTTGTGATTCTATGCACCCACGTGAAAATTGAGTCAGCGCTCGCCCAAACTACGACGCATTTGTTCTGTGAGACACTACCAGCCTTGCGCGTGTCAATGCTCATCTCTTAGTGACTCTGGCTGAGTTGTCTCAAATCTGATTATTTTCTGCCTCCATACACTTTTTATACGAATCACGAGGTAAAGAGTATAATAGCTAATGATTAAACAGTGTACGTATGTAGAGTACGGGTGCTAGATATATTATATGCTGTATACCTGCCTCCACATGCCCCCAGTACCAAGGTGCAGTCAGTGCAGCCATGAATGGTGAGGGAACTGGTGTTGTCCAGGACAAAGATCTCACACTGCTTGCAGTCCTGGATGTGGAACTGACGACGACTCAGTTGGCCCGGCAACCGACAAACAACCACACCCACTTGGCCCGATATGATGAGCTGGCTTCGATCAGGGCGTTCTTTCTTTTCCCTTAAATCATGGATAGCAAAACCAAGAGTAGCTATACCAAATATAGTTGAGTGCACCATGTTTTTGGTATCATAGAACCAAGATAAACTGCGTTCTGCCTAGTTAGCCAACATGATCTAGAATGAAGCACACTGGATCTAGAATGAGGCACACTGTATCATAGAACCAAGATAAACTGCATTCTGCCTAGTTACGTAGCTAAATGACACCATCATTGAAAATGAGGCTTTGTCATTTCAGTTCACCTCGACATGCATCTTAGACTGGACTTAGGTGTAATACCTAGGAAAGAGGGGTCACAATTCTGCACACTCCAGCTACGTGTTTCAGACAAGATCTCCACTGCACTGTTTTTATAAGGTAGCTAATCTCTTCACCACTGGACACACAGCACCCCATGATCGACTCTCGCGCGGAGCCGTCTGCGGAGAGGCTACTACTCAGATCCACCCCTTTCTGGGAGGCTGTAGCGCATGCGCATTACACTTAGCGTGGCACCTACCTCGACCAGAAGTCGCGGTAACCACTGATTTTGGCGTCGTTTTCTCACTGAAGTTCGGATGGACAGTTTTTGGCTTAATTTTTCAAGCAAAAACCTTGATGGTTGGTGGGTAGGAGGGCTATGTTGTTTACAACAATTGATGTTCATAATCGCTGCAGGTGTGACCATCTCTCTGAATGGCGAGCCTATTCCAAACAATAACATATCGAGAAGTGTGTACGACTTTGAGTTACTGAATACAAATGATGATTTTGACAGAGCTATGAGGTGTCAGTCTGAACTGTCTGTCTCTGAAGTCCCTTTCTATACTCATGTATGTCTTGTTGGTGGTGGAGATAGTCCAGTCCCTTGTTCTTGGCCAGACGAATTCTACCTACGCTTTGATGGTAGTATAACTCGAGGATGGAGTGGAAGGAGAGTAGCTGATGAAGGTGGTCGTAGAGTACACTACTTGTGGAGAAGGTCGGAAACTCCAGAGGAAGGATATATCAACTGTCATATGATTGGAGACATTAACCCTGTATCAGGACTGTACGTCCTCTACCCCAGTGAGTGGCCATCTCTCATGGTGTATATATAGTGAGAGATTGTTCTCCTCCTCCAGTCACTGAGGTAACTGCAACTATTGAGGTGGAGGCAGGAACATCGACATTCAGACTGAGGTGTACTTCCACTGGTGGTAGAGCTCTCAACATGGCCGTCTCTGGACCTGATGGATATAACTCTGACATCAGTGCAAACATACAGCCAGTGGGCACTCCACGGTTTCTGAGTAATGACAGGTACACTGCCAGGACTGAAGTTATATCCAGTGGCAGAGATGGTGTATTCCTATGCAATGTCACTAGTGTTACATCAACAACTGCTAGTATAACTGTGAGAGGTAAAGATTTCATTTGGACAATTTCAGAATTATATATCAACTGTGTGTTATTCTACTGCAGCTGGTGCTCGACCCATAACCTCACTGGAGCAAACAGCTCTCACTACTGTTAGAGTGACCTGGTCTCCAACACCAGAACTCCCAGTGTCGTACAGAGTACACTATCTCCTAGCTGGGGGAACTGGTGGGAATGGGACTAAGACTGTTGCAGCAGACACAACTAGTACTGAAATAACTGGTCTCACTAACAGAGAAACCTACATCATCTCAGTAGAAGTTGTTTCCAGCTTACCTGATGTCATTCCTGCAGTCGCTGAAGAGATTATTACCCTTGGTATGCACTTTCTTCTCCCCCACTCCCATAACACAACAGAATCACTCACGCCGCATGTGAAGATAATAGCTACCTTACACCATATCAAACACCCACACACATACTCACTTACCATTCCTTACTTACTACTTTACTCCCCCATTACACTTTAACCACAGCTCCAGAAACTCCCGAAAGGGTAGTAGTTACTGCAGAATCAGCCAGTGTCAGAGTGTCCTGGGATGCAGTAGAAGATGCTGACAGATACACTGTCACATTTTCTCAAGTTCGGGGATATTACCAGAAGGGGCTGTGCAACCCTACCAACTCTCATACTGCCACTCTGACAGTCAGTGCTCCCTCTACTACTGTCAGTATTGCTGTAGGAGGAGATGTGGGGTCAACAGTGACTGATATGTTGAGAGCCTACACCACATATGAGGTGACTGTGAATGCAGTCAGTAATGTTAGAGGTACCAGTCGACCCAGTGAGACCAAGAGAGTTCTAACACCACAGACTTGTAAGACCGACTAAATAGTCTCACAGTCTGTGTGTATAGTGTGTGTGTGTGTGTGTGTTGGGTATTGGGGGAAGAAAAGGAAGATAGTCCTACAGATTGTGGGAGGCGTGTGCCGACCTCACCGCGTGTGGCTGCCTAGTGTTCCAAGGTGTATGCATCATTAACTGTTGACTCAGTTCTACTCTACTTGGGGACTTACATTGGGCAATAATGAGCTATTATTCTACTTTCTGTGCTATATTGTATATTTGTAAGGGCACCAAAGTTATGGAAGTAATAGGGAACATGGAGAGCGGAACAGTATGTGTGTGTATGTTCTAGTATACAAGCACAAGAGTAGGACATGGATGCCCAGCCTTGAGAACTGGGGACGGTGGGTTAAAGATCTTTGATGGCTAGCCAACTCTCCCCACACATCCAATGTCACAGGCTCTTGTTGTTGTGCAAAGTCTACAGCTTACAGTACTGTATTGAAGTATAGTTACAGTCACATACCTTAGGCTCTCTGGGGGACTTGCAATCCTATGGTTCTACTAATGCACAGTGGGGTATTTATAGGGAGTTGTGATGTCATAGGTATGGAATTTCCTAAGGGGGAAGTGGGCTTGTTACTCTAGGGTCCTGGGTGGTGTATTTTACTCTAGTGATACTCACAAGTGTAAAAATGGTGTGTGTGTGTGTTGTGTGATTTGTGAAGAAAGAGAAAAGGAGAAGGGTTAAGGAGAAAGGGGGGGAGAAGCAGGGCTGGGAGGGCTTTTGTCCGCATCGCCCGGGCAGCAGCCCAACATTCATGCGGTCTTAGCCTAGGGACTTACTACGCCCGCACCCACGTGCGCAGGAGTATCACTATATGTATGGTATGTATTCGGCCGGTCATCAGGGAAGTACCTATTTCCGTCATTGTATGACAACGGGTTTCGGTCCCACTAAATTGTCTTACAGTCTGTGTGTATTTTGTGTGTGTGTGTGTGTGTGTGTACAGGTGCAGGAGAGGCTCCAGGGGATGTGAGAGCAGAGGTTGAGAGCCCCACTGAGATATCTGTCCAGTGGAGTGGCCTCTCCAACTGTAGACTGGTCAATGGTCCAATCACTCAGTACAGAGTTCAGTTCACTGCCAACGGCAGAACTGAGACCGTAGACCAAGTGCTAGGAGATGGTGAAGACTGGAGGAGTGGAGGACGAGTTACACTGACTGGACTGACTTCCCTAACCAACTACTCCATATCAGTAGCAGCTGTGAATGAGAATGGAGATGTTGGACTGTATTCTGACCCTTTAACCGTACTAACTCTGCAAGCAAGTAGGTCACCTGTTACAGTACAATGTCCTGTAAGTGTAGCATACTGAACGATTCTCAGTGATAGCTGATCCGAACCTAGGCAACTATCATAACTGACTATGTGCACAAGAATGTATCCACTAAAGCGCAGTAGTATTTCGTTTTCTCTGAATCTTATTTACTGCTACGAGCCTTGAGCGTGACTACGCTATCACTTCTCGACTCATCTCTTTCCCGACTCTGACAAATCTCCACATGCATACACTATTAACCCTCGGTGCGCATGCACAGCGAGGATTATGGTAGCTGTCGTGTGTATCCTTCTGTCTGTCTGTCTGTCTGTCTGTCCGTTACCCAACATCTCACTTCACAAGCCATGAATCGCTCCACAAACAAGACCACGTATTCAGTGTAGGATAAAGGTCCAAAATTGTGTGTGGTTTTCTCTGAAACTCCTGCGCTTGGAATATTATCAATGCTTTTCATTGATTACGTAATGAGCTAGTTCAGAATCTAATTGAGTACAGATATGCTAACTGTCATACTCTTCCCCCTATAGTAGTGGAGCTGGCAGAAACATCCTACACTATAGGAGAGTCAGATGAAGTGGTTGAGGTGTGCATCAATGCAGTTGGTACCAATTCTTCGTGTCCCCAGCACCGAGTCTTTCCATGTCACCCTTTCCACTAGCGATCAAACTGCAGGTAACTACGAATACATTGAAGACCCTATGAG